AGAAAGATGGGATATATCTTGGTGTTCAAAGTGAGGCAGAATGTGGAGGAAGGTTAATGGAAGCGTGTCTTCTACTATAATAATTTAAATTTACTTCACCACATTTTAATCACACCTCATGTGTGCATGTGCATGCATGTGTGTATGTGTGTGTGTGTGTGTGTGTGTGTGTGTGTGTGTGTGTGGTCCTCCTAGTAAGTGAGGAAACAGGATCAAAACCGAATGCTCAAGTGTCTCTCCTTAGGAAACACTGTATCCCATTCTTCTCTGCCCAGTTAATTTACCACAGTGTGGTGGAGAAAGACACTAATTTGCCATCTTATGTTTCTGGAGCTCAGATGGAGATGGCTTGGTTTCCAGGGCCAATGCCAAGGTGCTAGCCAGAGCTTTCTGAAGCTGTGAGGGTGAGTCCCTTCTCTCACCTCTTCTGGTTTCCTGGGGCCCCATATTCCTCTTCCTCCATCTGCAGGGCCAGCACCGGGTCACCCTGACCTAGGCTCTGTCTCCTGCCTCCCTCCTTCACCTGTAACAGCCTTGATCACCGGCCCTCAGAGTGGGAGAATCCCCCACCCCAAGCCTTCACGTAATCACATTTGCACCGTGTCTTTGGCCATGCATGGTAGATGCCCGTCTGTTCTGTAGCACCAGGACGCGGACATCTTTGGAGGAACTGACTCTCTCTATCACATGTACCCCTCTCTGAGTGTCAATAAAACCTTAACATAGTAGATAAATGTTTTTAAAATCTCAGAGAAGAGTTTAATTCACTTTGCTTAAAGCCAGTGTTTTTCAAACTAATTTAATCAAGGAACTTTTTCCTCTTCCCAAGGAAAGCTTCTGTATTAGTCAGCTTTCTCATTGCTGAGACACGGCACCTGACAGTGCAAAGCTCCAAGAGGCAGGGTGTAACCTGATTCATGGCTTGGTGGATACAGTGCTGGGTTGGCTAGATCCAAGGCAGAAACAGCAGCTGGGAGGGCCTGGGGGGAGGGACATGGCTTGCCACCTGGCAGCCAGAAAGTAGAGAGAAAGGGAGGAGCCAGGGAGAGGTATGCAACCTCCAAACCCACACCCAGCTGGACCCCTCCTCCCAGCAACACACGCAATGTGAACTCTTTTGTGGATTAGCCCCCCATGAGCACAGAGTCCCATGATCCGGTCACCTTGCAAAAGCCCCACCTCCAAACACACGAGGTTTCTGGGTGATGTTGCAGATCTAAGCCATTGCAACTTCTTAATTCATGGATCAATCTTAGAAGCAGCCTCTGTGCCCAACCACGTGAATGGATGGATAAAGAAAATGTAGAGTTTACCTTTGATGGAGCACTACTGTATCCTGAAGGGTAAGCTGTCATCCTGTGTAGGTAAATGGATGCACCTTGAGACCATAATATGAAGTGAAATAAGACACACGCGCTTAAATATCGCATGATTTCTCCTCTGAGAAACACAAAATTAAATACAGAGCAAAATACAAGATTGATAATGAGAAATATGGAGGTAGAACTTTTTCAAATGGGAAGGGGACTGAGAGATTGAGGGAGAAAAAAGGGGGGAGACAAAAAGTGGATGATATGTGACATGCACGCACCAAATGCACACAAGGAATCACGTGCCACAAACGTGTACTGATAAAAATTTTTAAAAGGGGCCGGGGATGTAGCTCAGCACAGCACCTGCCTGGCAAGTGCAAGGACTCCAGGTAAGGTTTCCATTACAAAAAAAAAAAAAAATTTTTTTTGGTGGTACCAGGGATCGAACCTGCCAGGCAGGCGTTTATGCCACTGAGCTAAATCCCCAGCCCCCCCAAAAAATTTTTTTAAGTAGAGCAGGATTCAAACTGGTGTGTGCACCTCTGAAAACCCAGAAACTTTCTACAAGATGGAGGCGGTTGATTGATAGATCCGAATCGCTCCTGGCCTTAGCGCCTCTTCTGTATACAGACTTGATACAGATCCGTGGGAAGACTCGGAGCACCGTGATGCCCTGCCCTCCCAGCTCAGTCGTGGTGGTGCAGCCATGTGACACACTGCCCTGGGGCGCTGATCCTCCTGGGTCCAACAAAGGGATCCAGAGAAACAGAGAGCAGTGCTTCTCTTAGTCAAACCACCATGACTCCTCCTGTAGCCTCCTATAGAGGCATTTCCAGTAAAGCTTTACTTTCTGTGTTATGATAAGTATTCATTGAAATGTTGGTATCTCATATCATACCAAAATAATTAAATGATCCCTCACTCCAGAAGAAAACATTTAATGCTTGGAGCTTTATGGTTGCTAGGATCTTCTCTTAATTTAAATTTCTATTGATGTGCAGTCTTTGATTGTAGACAGTTATGATGGGTTGATCACATGTTTTCAAGTGTAAGAAGGAACATGCAGTGAAAGTTCTGTGGGTGAAGGAGAATGCAGACATCATTTCAAGAAGAAAAAAGAACCTTGCTGATTTTTAAAATGATGCTACTCATGCCATATATGACAGTAATGGGTGTTATATCACGATGGCACTTGAATTACCTGGAGCACATTTTAAAGAATCCCTTAGCAGGTTAATAGGAAAGCATCAGTTACTTACAATATCTGGACCATATACTATTAAACTTAAGATAGAAAGTACTTGCTACCAAGCTTTTAAAGTATGCAAGAAAATACACCATTTTCCAGAAATTTTGGGGTTTGGGGAAGGTACTAGGAATTGAACCCAGGGCCCCTTTTTATTTATTTTGAGACAGATGTTCTCTAAGTCACTAAGTGGCCAGGCTGGACTTGAACTCATGATCCTCCCTCCTAGCCTCCCAGAGTGCTGGGATTGCAATTGCGTGCCCTCTTGCTGGGGCTGTGTGAGCCCAAGGCATGCAGACTCTGGCCCAGAGCAGAACACAGGACGCGCTGGTGGCAGAATAGCAAGGTCCAGAACCAGGCAGCTTAAGGAAAGGCCTCTCTGCTGGGCTTGCAGGTTAACGCCAAGGTAGTCTGCTCAGAGCCGGGGCTCCTCCACTCACCCAAGCTCTGCCCCATGCCCCCAGCATGCTCGGCCTGGGTGTAAGGTGGTCTCAGAAGCCAGGAGTTCCTGCTCCCATGGCAACCATAGGCGCATATCATCAAGCGATGCTCTGTACCTGTGGGCCTGCTGCTTTTCTAGAGACCTGCTAGGGCCAATCACAGGAGCTGTACCTACAAAGCAATGACTCACTTTCTGATATTCTGGGACAAACCCTGCAGGCCCCTTGTGCCTGTGACCAGGCCATCACTCAGTCTTGAAGCTCCTGTGGAAACGACTCCAAAGCTCACAGTACAATCTTTTGAACATCCTTAGTGCCTGTAAATATTTGCCTCTGGGAGACAAATTGATTTCTTTTTTCTTTTTGAGGGGAGCAAAGGTTATTGACACAAAGGTCTGGTGACAGGGTGGATGGCCACACTGGGCAGGAAGAGCATTTGTCTTAACACATGAACCAGGAAGTTGGAGCTCTCTCGGTAGGAAAGAGCCAGGAGTCCCGTTTGTTCCGGGCGCTGCATGGTGTTTATTCTCTGTGCCTGCAGGCTGTCAGGGAGCACCCCAGTTCTGGAGGAATATTAGTTTCTCTTAGCATCAGTTTGGTATGCTCTGGAGTTCATGCTTTGCTATTTTTCTGCATCTTCCTCCAGTGTTGTACTCAGCAGACATCCACCCAGGTCCATCCCTGCACCCTGAGCTAAGCTGGATGCTGTGGGGGGGCCCTGCACTGTCCCCAGACCACTTGGCTCTCCTTAGGGGGTCAGGATAAACATACACGTGAGCAACAGTGGCTGTTGGGGTTCACTTTAAATGTCAGCTTCTGCCACTTGCTGCTCTCCTAGAGTATTTCATAAGTCTAAGACTACCACAAGATGTCTTTTTATGTGCCCATAAGAAAGAAAAAAAAATGCTAACAAATTATAACTGATATCTATTTTGTTTTATTTTTTCATGATGGGGATAGAACCAGGGCCTTTGTCCTCAATTACAGTTCTAGCCTTTTTTATTTTTTGTTCTGAGAGAGGATCTCACTAAGTTGTCCAGGCTGGGCTTTGTTAGCCTTATTTAGACAAACTGTTGTCGGTTTTTGAAAAACATATATTACTCTCATTGTTACTCATAAAGGAGAAAATAACAGCAAAAGTAAGCTAGCTGTGGTTTTCCTAAGCGTGTTCACATTCAGAATACTACGTGTCTGGAGCCGGGTGTGGTATTGCACACCTGTAATTCAAACACTCAGGAAGCTGAGGTGGGAGAGCCACTGCCATTTCAAGGCCAGCCAGTGCTATGTGCCAAAGACCTTATCTCGAAAGAACAAAATGAAACAGAAAGGAATTCTACTTTTCTGAAGCATTTCTGGTACCAATGTCTGTGTTTCCCACGCACTGCCACCATTGCTGTCATCAGGAACGTGAGTGAGGTGGAAATTTCTCGTGGAAACTGACATACACATGCATGTAAAGACTGCCACAGCACAACTGCTGCCTGGTGGTGGTGGCTGCCAGACAGACTCCAACTTCCAAGGTCTCCAGAGTAGAAAGCCACATCTTAGACATGATGAAACGGGGGTTCTGAGACTCGAGGTAAAGTCTACCATGAGCAGTGATCCCTGTGTCCATTTCTCTGGGTACGGGATGGACGTCGGGGCTGCACCCCCATCATCGTGCTGTAATTCATTCCTGTATAGTTTGCTAAGCCTGTTTTTTCCATGGTGATGGTAGTTGTGGGCACTGTCTGTAAGCTGGTAGCACCGGGAAGCCGTGTATGCATGACATGGTCTAAACCAGTGAGGCTGGCCAGAGCCTGCAGAGCATGAGTGTAAGTCCAGCAGGTGCCAGAGGGAGAGATAACGTCACCACACAGCGTAGGTTTAGCAAAGGAGCTGTGGGATACAGAGACACGGGGCTGTGCATTGCGAACAAAGTTCAACTTCACATGTTTTATTTGGAGATGCGCAGCTCACAGCTCTCACATTCCCATACCCTTCTCTCTCTCCCCTCTCTAGGTCCAGATGTGTTTAGTTCGAAGAGCCTCGCCCTGCAAGCGCAGAAAAAGATCCTGAGCAAACTAGCCAGTAAATCGGTGGCCAACATGTTGATTGATGACACCAGCAGTGAGATCTTCGACGAGCTCTACAAAGTCACCAAAGAGTACACCCACAACAAGAAGGAGGCCCACAAGATCATGAAAGACTTAATCAAGGTGGCCATCAAAATCGGGATCCTCTACCGGAACAGCCAGTTCAACCAGGAGGAGGTGGCCACGGTGGAGAAGCTCCGCAAGAAGCTGAACCAGACCGCCATGACCATGGTGAGCTTCTACGAGGTAGACTACACCTTCGACAGGAACGTGCTCTCCGCCCTGCTGCACGAGTGCCAGGACCTGGTACATGGACTAGTGCAGCGGCACCTCACGCCTCGGACCCATGGACGCATCAACCATGTCTTCAACCACTTCGCTGACGTGGAGTTCCTCTCCGCCCTCTATCGCCTAGATGGGGATGGTAGGCCCAGCCTCAAGAGGATTTGCGAAGGCATCAACAAACTGCTAGATGAGAAGGTCCTCTGAGTGGCGCCCTCCCGAGAAACTCTGCTTCTCTAACATCCTGTCATCCAGCCTGGGTCCCGTGAGAATCCAGACCCCACACAGAAACCCTTGTTGTTGATCGACGTCCGTGTTCTGTCCTACTTATCCCCTCCAATGCTGACGCTGAGCTGAGCTCAGGTGTGTCCACCCCAGCCGCCGTCGAGGTCTGAGCTTCTGAACACCTGCACTTGGAAGCCCTTTTCAAGCAGAGAGGCTGCTTGGCTCCTCACAGTGAGCTCAGGGCATCTTGGCATGGAAGGGGTCCTGGGCTGGGAGCTAGAGGAGCGTGACCCAGTTACCAGCTGCACCAATCCCACTTCTGTCCTCTGTCCTGGTCCTGCACACCCGCCCGCCTACCTCCCAGGGCTGTTGCGAGGGCAGAAGGAGATAATGTGTTTCCCCTACTTTAAAAGCTCACCTGGGAGCTATTGATGTCCTCTCTCTGCGTGGAGAGGGATCAGTCCAGATCTCGTCTATGAACAGTATGGAAGAAAAGAATCACAGAACTGAACAGAGAGGGCTTGCAGTCTCTCTCTACCCATGCTGCTTCAAAGTAAGATGAAGTCAAAGGTGTAAAGTACACTTGCAAATAGAAATGTGTCATTCAAGAGTTGTGTTTGGGTCTCAGAATGCAGGTATATGATGGCATGGAGGGAATCTATCCACAGGGGAGGGGACAGTTTGCTGGCCAGCCATCACCCCCAAGCTCAGAGCACCATGCACCCTGCCAGGCTGGCTGCCCTCCCACAGAATGGCCACCCCTTTGGCCTGGGAGGCTTCATCCCAGCACTTAGAGGACAGTGAGGGAGATGAGTCCCTTTTCATCTTTCTTGGCCTTTCACAGTCGTTTTGTGCTGTCTTCTCTGGTCTGTTAATAAAACAAAACTACCCTTCCAACAAGAGGTCTTGGAATTATGATTCTTAAAAATTTCTTGGGATACGTTGGGTGCTAGTATTGAAGAAGAAGCAGAAAATGAGGGCAAGGAGTCAGCACTCGGACGCCTGAGGAAGGCACCCTGGGCAGCATGTGGCATGTGGCAGATCCCCTGGGCAGCACACAGCATGTGGCAGATCCCCCAGCATCATCCACAGCCAGCTGTAGACATCTGTGGTCTGTGATGGTCTGAGGCTGCACTGTCTCTGCCTCATCCATGCCCCACCCCTGTGCGCTGTCCCCAGTGGGCTGAGGGAGGGTGTGATGCTAGATCCACTGAGCCTCGACTGGCCCTTCCCCCAGTGGGTCCCTGCACCCCCTGATGCCAGCGTGTTGTGTTGGGCAGGTCTTGGGTCATGGTGCAGAGATGAGTCCACAGGAAGGAGTCCAAGGGCCAGCAGGGGACACGGGAGACTGGCGTCAGCCCCTTCCTCTGTCTGTGGCAGGCAGGGCTGAGTCTCCCTCTCAGGCGCACTCAGGGGAGCAGTGAGCAGTGGGCTCCCTCCTGCCCTCCTGCCCACCTGCCTGCCAGGGTCCAGCCCAGCGGCAGCCAGATGGTCACAGGCCGCATCCTCGAGGTCGTCCTGAGAATGCTTGCATGGCTCCACTCATCACTCTGGAGTGAGCTCGGTTCTCATAAATTAGAGAGAACTGTGATGGAGACTTCCGCCCCATGAGGAGCAAGAGGATCTGTCCTCTGTCTACCTGAGGCCAGTGAGGTGAAGGCAGGTCCCTGCCAAAGGAAGATCAAAGCCAGAACGGGCTGCTATACTGGGGACGGTGGGACAAGGCAGAGTTGGGCTCTGACGCCCCTAGCAAGTGCGGCAGCATGGACCACCTCAGCCTCCCCGCTGAGGGACCCATTAGGCTGTGGACTGGCAGACCCAGGGTGTCCCCCAAGTTTGTCATCAATGGCCCAAGTAAGCTGGGCTGCACCGTCACAGGTCAACCCCACGCTTCCAAAGCCAATCCAGTGCGCACATTTCAAACACGCTATTGGCATCTGGACCCAGGTGACTCTTGACTATAATCTGGCAACCTAAAAGCCTGCAGATTTCAAAGATTTACGTAGCAGTCTCGGCACCAAAGAGGGACTCATAGGTGTCACACTCTCTTGAGGACTCTAGCTATGGCTCTCGGTGGCTCTGAACAGCTATTTTGGTTGAAGCAAAGTGACAGAGGCCAATAGACACTTCCAGAACCCTTGGTCCTCTGTAGACACTCGTCTGTGCTCAGGACTCCACAAAATTTTCCAGTATCAAGAACCACGAAAGCAAAGTTAGAATCTCTGCATGGAGGGGTGGCCCATAACAGAGGCTGTCACTTTGCAAGAATGATGGAGAAGGAAATTATTTCAGAAAGAGCAACAGGGCAAAGTCACCTCAGGGATCAAGCCCCAGGTGTGCTTCAGAGACGCAACCACCAAGTACGAGCATGGCTCACTTCGGAGTAGGGGTGGCAGGAGCGTTTGCCTCCTGGTGTCTGGCAGTGTCACCAGGTCTTCAACCTTCCCTATGTGGCCACATCACTCATCCTTGCTGGTTTGCAGCTGTGAGTTCCGACCCCTCAGTGACTCTAGGTCTCTGCTCAGTGCAAATTAAAATGAGGAGCCTTCTCCATCTGTGCTTCTTCCAACTCCCTTCTTCCCCCATCTGTGTACTTTTTCAAGAGCAAATCAGTACGTTCATCAGCTGCTCTGATGAACTTGAGTGCATTTTTGATTTTAGAAAAAAAGAGCTAAAATCAGAGCTCCATCTTCTACCCCAGTGTCTTTGGGGATCTTAAAAACTCCAGTAGGACCTCAGAGGTCAAGACCACAAGCAATCAATTAAAATTCTAGATCAGCCCACTCTGGCTATAAAGATATTACATTAGCTGGAGCCATCCAGCAGTGTCCCAAGATGTCAACAGCCTTGAGAAAGAGGGTCACCGATGGTCACGGTGGTCAGCGGGTTCCCCTTGTGCAGCCTGACCTGCTTCAGGAGCCATGGTCCAAGCCAGGCCTTGCCTCCTTCTCTTGGTCGTTGTTTTTCCAAATAGCATCTACAGATCCCTGTAGTCCTGGGGCTGGGAGACGAATGAGTCCTTTTGTTCTCCAGGAGTTCTTAATTTTTGTCTCATTTGGATGTCTTTTTCAAAAGATACAATCAGTGTTAGCACGTTCTGAATCACGCAGGAGTGACCTTATAGCCAAGGAGTGCCATCTGTCTTCAGATCTGGGTTTTCCTCTGCATTTGTGTGTCACTCGTGCTAATTGGGCACCTCACTCAACCAGGCAGACTGGAGCTCAACGTGACTCCCAGGCTAGGTCTGGTGTCCCTGGCAGGTCTGCTGTTATGGCCTGGGGTCCGTGGCTGTTCAGTCCTGGGAAGCTCAGCTGCAGCATGTGATGGTGTCCCCTGACCCTGATAGTGACCAATCTGTGGGAGTTCAAAGGGTGAGCAGTGGGCCAGCACCTAGGGGACTGACAGGCTTCCAGCTTCCATCAGCCCCTTGGAAGAAAACTGACCAAGAAAAACTACCAGTTACAAATCAAATCAAAGAGCTGACCGACCTATCCTGGAGTCCTCATACTAAAAGAGTGTCCACCACTGGACACAGCACGGTCTGTGCTCCCACGGAGGGGAAGAGAGGAGGCACTTGCCAAGAAGAGAAGGTAGTTGCACCTGTCATACTCAGTCCTAGGGGAGCCTCCTCTGCTGCAAGGCCCAGGCCTCCAGAGGGCTTGTGTGGGTCCCAAATCCCACAAGATTGGTGCTGGAGAGAAAGGCATATGGCATTCAGATGGGGAGGCACCCGGTTCTTTCCCATCCCAGGAAAGGGAAGCTCAGCAGAGCAGCACAGCTCAGTGTGTCTCTAGCCTTGCCTTTCTTACTGCCCTGTGGGGCCTAGCAAGGCAGGACATGCAGAAGAGGGTCCTGCAGCCCACCCAGGAGCTCTGCTTAGCCAACCGCTAGAGCTTTCTGGACCATGCTGAGGACAGGGAGCCTGGGGTTTGGCTCTCAGCTCAAGGAGGGGCTGGATCAGAGCCAGAGCTGCCACAGTGTGTAGGCCCCCCAACAGTAGCAGCAGCAGCAGCAGCAGTTAGGTTGTGCAGGGGCAGGGGCACTTTCTTGAGCTCTGTGTCACCAGGAAGGAAGACGGTGGGCCATCCACTCGGGAGCAGCAGGCCCCATGCACAGCACTTCTGCACTGTGGGCTTTTAGAGGAGAATCTGATTCATTATCCAGTGAAGCAGTCATTTGCAAATAGGCTGACAAATGGCTTTTCAGTGGTCTTCTTCAGAAATTTTGAATATCGATCTAAGTTCATAGATTTCAAAGCAGAAAAGCCATAAGCTACAAAATGCACAGTAAAATCAAGACCCAGAGGACCATGTGATGGGGCCTGGGAGCCCCAGGGACCGGGTGTCCTCAATGGTCTGGCCCTCTACTAAGACACATTTCAAACTGAGATCGCATGGAATCTGCCTCTGGACAGAGCAGATGCTCAGGGGCAAACTCACACATAAATTGGGACTGATTTGACTCAAGTATTTTAGGACACCATCAGAACCATTTAAAAAATACAGTAAGAGAGCCAGGCGTGGTGGCGCACACCTGTAATCTCAGCACTCAGGAGGCTGAGGCAGGATTGCCATGAGTTCCAGGCTAGCCTGGCCTACCTATTGAGTTCAATACCAGCCTAAGACCCTGTCTCAAAAAGGTCAATAAATAAAAATATATTAAGGAAGCCATTGTCCCAATGCATGAAATTAGATATCTCAAATCTTTTCTCTTTAACAGCTTTACTGAGATATGATTTCTATGACATAGAATTCCCCTATGTATTCACAGGTATGCACCACCACAGCCGATGTTCCAACATTTTCATCACCTTGAAAGAAAGCTGACACCTTTAACAGTCCCTGCTGCCCTTCAAACCTGGTCAGCAATGTGAAGTTGGTCTTTCCCCAGTGTAGCACAAACAAGAATGTCTGAACCCGAGATTTGCTGTGCAGTCTTGAAATCTGGAGCACACAGAGCCCAATCACCTGGGTGACCAAGAGTCACTGTGCTGCCTGTGACAGGTTCAGGCTCAGCTCTCCATGAGTGGGGTTCTGCAGGGTGGGCCCAGCTTCTGGAGCAGGCTGCACCCCGCCCTGGCCTTCCCACAGCTACTGGTGGAGGCTAAGGTGGGGTCACAGCTGAGGGGTTGGGGGAATTGGAGCATCACATAGGGCAGAGACCTCAAAGCATTGCCCTCAAGCCACCTGTGTCAGAATTCTTAGGGACAGGCACAGTTCCATTTGAAAATGCAGACACCTTGGTCCCATCCCCCACCCTGATTCAGATTTCAGAGCTACAGCGTGGGGATCTGCCCAGCTAAAAAACTCCTAGTGAATTTAAACAGTGAAGTTTGCTAAGCCTAGGGCAGAGGACTGAAATTCTTTGCATCTCAAATTTTGTGGTTCTCACAGAATTTGCGTCTCTACAGAACTGTTTCTACATCCTGCTTTTTCTAGCTCTGAAGTAGTCAATCTGCCTGTTCCTCTGTGTCCAAGGGGAGCCCCTGAGTACTTGGATCAAGCCCATGCTGCTTCTCCAGTTTCCATCTCCAGGGTGGTCAGTGAACACTGGACTTCCCAAGCTGCCGTATGCTGTGCACCACAGCAACCATGGCCATAGCGAGACGACAGGGCTCATCCCAGCAATGCTGTGCTTCCCGCATTCTCATCTCTCAATTAATCAATTATGGTCACAGGTGACTGCTTACAGTGCTTCCTCTAACGCCAAGCCCTAGGTGCTGATCAGGAAATGCAGTTTCCAGGCTCACATTTGGCCCAGCTTCCCCATGGTCTCCTCTTAAGCAATGCGGGATGCTCTGGAAACAGGATTGCTCTCAGGACCTAAGGGAAGAGGGGCAGAGGGTGGCCTGCCTTTCCTTCAGGCAGGGGAGAAGCAGAATCTAAAAAGTTGAACCTAGG